TGCTTCGCTGAAATTAACAAGGTGCGTATTCAATCTCCCGATAGATATGGATGCAACGATGGTTTTGCTTTATCTCGCGGTTAAGGAGATTGTGTCGGAAAATCCTTGTAAAGCGGTTAAAGGTGCATGTGGAGTTGGTGTTCGATGAGGTCCACGGCTATGACGAAGTTCAAGCGAGGCTTGGACTTGAAAGACGTCTGTGGCGGTTGAGCCCATTGGGGCGTGGGAGAGTAGTAGCGGAATTCGGATTCTATCAAAGCGATTGTGACTTGGCTCAAACGTCGAGCCAAGGTGGAGATTGTTGAATATATGTCTCGAGTTTAAGCCCAAACGAAAATCTGAATATTCCGAATTAATATTTTACGGACATCCGAAATTGAGCAAAAGGAAATATTGGAAATTTACTTTCCAAATATGTGCCGGAGGAAACAAATATTCTTTCCTAATTGATGTTGGAGTCTACGGCTTGAACAACAAAGTCCAACGTGGCTTTTGATTCGGATCATGACTCGGTCAACTCTTGGGCACATATATTATATTCTATCATGGGCACTTTGAAAAGAAAAAGTTGAAGAGTGCAGAGTGTGGTCTTTGTGCCGTTCGTGTCCAGAGAAGAACTGAAGCACCGAATCGAGTGCTTGACGTGAGTCTTCGTGGAATTACATCCTGGTGTTTTCTTCGTGCGTGAGTGATTTAGCAGATTAAATCTTGTGGTAAGATTTGTATATAATTCTTTTACGAGATTGAGAGATTATTTCGTGAGAAATTGTGGGGCTAAACACTGCGTGAGTTATTAGGTGTAATTTTTTATTGTTCGATCGCTTGGCTTCCGCAACAAATAGAAGATGTGGTCGTCGTCGTCCAGCCCTGCTCTTTTCACCCTGTTCTCATTTCGAGAAATAGGAGAGTGATTGCTTACCGGAAACATGTTAAGGACGCATTTCGTAAGAACCGCTCCTCCGCGGTTTGACTCCAGCAGAAACCGTCGCTACTTCGTAAATCAGAAACCAGAGCTCCTTTAAGTTCCAACTTTTTCATTGTGAAGGATGAATAAAAGGAGCATCGCTTAAGTATCAAACCGAAAAAGGCAAGAGAGGACCAAATACCTTGAGCTAGTCAAAAGAGACAACATGCAGGCATCTCAACAGATGCTACTGAAACCCGTGTGATTGCCGACGGGTTATCGTTTCTTCATCATCCAATGTAAAATTTCTCCTGTTACAGCACATGGGAATCATGTCTTCTCTCAAGAATCTCATAGAAGGTAACCTAGCAACAAAAAGGTTGTATATGAATTGACTCTGACCGAGGCTAACCCGCGCCAAGCTATTCGGCCCCCTTACGGTTCGGAGTTTCTGGTCCTCTGGGCTTAGTCACACCTCAAACATTTACAGCAAAAGAAAGACCAAAGCAATAAACTGACACGTTATTGAAGCAACAAAGTGAGATGCAAAAACATGCAGGAGGGCTATGGAGGATGGAATTGCCACAATCATCAATGATTTATAGAGAAAACAATGGACAGTCTTCATCACAAACTTTCAAGTGCAATCTAATATTAATAATCCATTAGCCAAATCCCTAGGTGGTACACCTTGAGACAAGGTCGCGACAGGTTGGCGACTCCACTACGGATTTGCAAAAACTCTTATTGGACTTATGCCAATTTCTTTTTTTTTTTTTAAATATTTTTATTCGGCAGCAGGGACTCTAGGTAAGTCTATTACTTTTGATGTGTGAAATGTTTTCGCAGATGAGAGTTATAAGGGGTGGAATGCTTACCAACCATTATCTTGCAGCGAGGTGTTCGAATAAATGTTTTAAATTCGATATTTGAAGCGGTATTTGCTTATAAACTGTTATGCATGTTCCTATTACATCTGCACTACACTTTAGCACACATAACTTGCCGCCAGACTTGGGACGCAGAGGATTATCTAGGATGGTGTTGAGATGGATACCACTCCGACTACAACCCCGTAGTACGAGTCGCCCATCTCAATCCCGAAATTTCTTTTCGGGTGTCGAGAGTTACCACCGCGTTCGCAACCCTACAATATCGGGTCAACTCTTTGACCAAATTGGAGTCTTGACGACCCGACTTAGTTCGCAACCCCGCGACTAGTCTAATCATCCCCGTGGCTCCACTTTGTTAAACCACCTAGAGTAGAAATCGAGCCTCACATATCATGCGCATATCTATGTGTTTGCCATCGTCATATTGGTGATGTAAGTCTTCTATCCTTTGCTTTGCAAGTTACTTACTTTACGGTACCTTTGGTCGATCCATGATAATAAGGTCAATCGTGAGTTTTGGTCTATATACAATCGAAGGGCCCGACATTCTCTTAGTTTTCCCTCCAAGGACGAGCTAGACATATGGTGGAACAAACTTGATCAAACCGGCTACGATTTTGTGAAGTCTAAGATCAGTCGGCTCTCCCTCTGTTGAAGATAGAAGTCCACTCCGGCCTCATCCAAGCATTGGCACATTTGCGGTGCCCCGAAACATCCACCTTCCTATTTGGTAAGCATGAACTCACACTACAAAAAAACTGGATTTTTGCCACGAAAATTTGCGACGAAAAAATTTTCGTCGCAAATTTGCGACAAATTTTCCAACGAAAAGTAAAATTCGTCAGAAATTAACGATGACAAATTTTTCGTCGCAAAATTCGTTGGAAATTTCCAATGAAAAATTTTTCGTCGCAAAATTCTTTGGAAATTTCCAACGAAAAATTTTTCGTCGCAAAATTCGTTGGAAATTAGTGACGAAAAATTTTTCGTTGGAAATTTCCAACGAAATTAGCGACGAAAAATTTTTCGTTGGAAATTTCCAACGAATTTTGCGACGAATTCAAAAAAACCCGGTATTGTTTGGCATTTTTTTAATTCATGGGAAAATTCGTTGGAAATTTCCAACGAATTTTGCAACGAAAAATTTTTCGTTGGAAATTTCCAACGAATTTTGCAACGAAAAATTTTTCGTTGGAAATTTCCAACGAATTAAAAAAAACCCGGTATTGTTCGGCATTTTTTAAATTCGTGGGAAAATTCGTTGGAAATTTCCAACGAATTTGGCGATGAAAAATTTTTTGTTGGAAATTTCCAACGAATTTTGCGACGAATTCAAAAAAACCCGGTATTGTTCAGCATTTTTTAAATTCGTGGGAAAATTCGTTGGAAATTTCCAACGAATTTTGCGACGAAAAATTTTTCGTTGAAAATTTCCAATGAATTTTGCGACGAATTCAAAAAAAACCCGGTATTGAATTTTGCGACGAATTCAAAAAAACCCGGTATTGTTCGGCATTTTTTAAATTTGTGGGAAAATTCGTTGGAAATTTCCAACGAATTTTGTGACGAATTCAAAAAAACCCGGTATTGTTCGGCATTTTTTAAATTCGTGGGAAAATTCATTGGAAATTTCCAACGAATTTTACGACAAAAAATTTGTCGTTGGAAATTTCCAACGAATTTTGTGACGAATTCAAAAAAACCCGGTATTGTTTGGCATTTTTTAAATTCGTGGGAAAATTCGTTGGAAATTTCCAACGAATTTTCCCATGAATTTCAATTTTCCAGGCAATTATTTTAGCGACGGACACCGCCCCCTTCATCGGCCTTCGCCATGGCCGGCGAGCTCGAGCTCGCCCAGAACGCTCACCATGGCCGGCAAGCTTCGAGGTCGCTGTATCCTCCTCCTAGATCTAGGCGGGCTCGAGCTCGCCCGGTCTGGGGCGATCTGCCTCACCGGCGGCGAGGCCGGGCCTCGCCCGCATGATTTTGTCACGACGAAACTAATTTTGCCACGATTTTTTGACCAAAAAAAAATTTCGTTGGATTTCCAAATTTTTCGTTGGAAAAAAGTTGTTTTTTTGTTGAATTTTCCAACGAAAAAAATTTCGTTGGATTTCCAAAAAAGTTGTTTTTTTGTTGAATTTTCCAACGAAAAAATTTCGTTGGATTTCCAAATTTTTCGTTGAATTTTCCAACGAAAAAAATTTCGTCGCAAATTTCCAACGAAAATTGAAATTTTTTGTTCGAAAAATTTGCGACGAAGAATTACCAACGAATTTTTTTTCGTTGGAAAATTCGTTGGAAATTCGTTTTCCAACGAATTTTTCTCAATTTTTCGTTGGAAATTTCGTTGGAAAAAAGATGTTTTTTTTGTAGTGTCACCCCAATCTTGGAAGAATATAGCATTGCTATTGGGAAACCTTGGACCCTAAATTAATTAGGCCAGCCATCGGAGTAGAGACCCCATTGATTTTATCTGATTTTCTAAGAACCAAAGAGGGTGAAGTGAGAAAAATTTTGCAAGATAATTGTAATGCGTGTCCATTCTCATTTTTGGATGAATGCTTTAATAACACCACATCATTTCAAATGAGTAGGATTTTCCTGTTAGCTTTCTTCGGGTTAGTAATTTTCCCTCATCATAAGAATGCCATTAGTCCCTCAATTGCATGGATAGTCCAACAAGTGTGTGCGGGGAGAAATTTTGCCAATACTATCTTAGCTGAAACATTCCTTTCCCTCACTCGATTTAAAGAAAATAAGGATAAAGTTTTTCATGCTCCTTCCGAACTTTTGCAAATTTGGTGTCTCTATCACATAAAAGGGTTTGGTATCATAATGGCTAAAGATGAAATTAGCAATTCTAATCACCCAATTATGAAGTTCGAAAGTAAGAAAGAACACACTCCGGCTTATTATTACTCTGAATGGCTAGCTTTCATGGAAAATATGAGTCCCAAAGGTTTTCTATGGCATATGCTAAATGATTCCAAGTTCGCAAGGCGAGACTTACTTGTGGAAGTACTGAACCGATTCCTATGCTGGATTTTACTAGTGCAATTGAGTACTACCCGTCCAGAGTGGCTTGTTAGTATCAAGTTGTGCAAGAACTTCTGTCGGCGTTGCAAACAGACCCGATTTGGGTCGATTTCACCTATGAAAACCGTGATGATGAAGATGCCATTAGCTTGATCAAGTCGATGCGGGATATGTGCCACCCGCAGAAGTCGATATGGCCCGAGAAGGAGTTGAAAGGTAATGAGAGGACTTACTATGCCTCAACTGATTACATCCGCTGACACCAGATCCCGAAAAAGCTACTCCCAAAGACACCCAAGGTGCCCTTGAAGTCTACTAGACGTGCGGAGATCAAGCGCCTCAAGAGGAAGGCTGAAAAAAGTTCAAGAACGTGAAATTATGAGAGAAAGTTGTCTGCCATTTGTATATAGATCAAGCCGAGTGAAAATGGCTTGAATCTATTTTTCGTTTCCTAGTTCATTGTTTAGGGAGTTGAGTCACTTATTTTCTACTCGAATTGTTCAGGATATTTCAAGTCTTGTTTTCATAGTTTCTGTTTAAGGGGCTTCATTTGATTTGATAATCGTTTCAGCAATAAATAATTAAAAACAATTAGACCATTGTCAAGTGCCGGTGTTTCATTCGTGCTTTGTGCTTACTTGTGCTTATTCATCGACTTAGGTGATTACATAACGTTCGCGTTCACCAATTCGTCCACGATAAAAAATGAGGTTGGCCGATCAGGTTGATTTGCGAGATCGTGTCGCTAGTGTTGAGGATCTAATGAAGCAGTTCCTCACTACAATTCAGCAGCTGACTTCCAAGGTCAAAGCACTCTGAGTGAACCCAGTTCCTGCACCCGTTTATCTTGAAGCAACGGCGGCGAAGCATAAAAGTGGTAAGAAGACCATTAAGGAAGTTGATGATAGGATGCCCGACCTAGAAGATGACCCTATCCAGGTCATTGTGGAGAAAGATAAACCCGATGACATGCCAAAGATGAAGCATGACAAACGCGTTGCTAAGCTTGAGGAGAAGGTGAGATAATTGCGAGGTTCGCAGAGTTCGCCCCCCATCAACTTATCTGTCTACGCTAAGGTCAAAGTGCCGAAAAGTTCAAAATGCCAAAGTTTGAGAAGTACGACGGCACTTCTTGCCCAAAATCCTACTTGCAGATATACCACGTGCAGATGACTCAATATGTCAATAATAGGCCCCTTGTGATTCAATCATTCCAAGCAAGTTTTTGACTAGGCTCGTACTAAAGTGGTATATCATGAAGAATATAAAACTCCCCGACTCTTGGGACGAAGTGGCTGATGTGCTTCTCAAGCAATACAAGTTCAATCTAGACATTACTCCCTCCCGTGACGATCTCAAGCGAATTGAGAACTAGAAAGTGAATCTTTCAAGGAGTATACCGCAAGGTGGAGAAATCTGGCCGCCCAAATCACTCCCGATCGAGCCCAGGGATAAGGAGTTGATGAAGCTGTTTATTAAGACCCTCCCACACAAATACCACACTCGAATGGTGAGAACCATTGCAGATACCTTTAATCTACTCATCCCTGTGGGAGAACGGATTGAAATAGGGTTGGGAGATGGATGGTTCACTTAGCCGTTCTCGTCAAGTAAAAGGTTTACTTCAAAAAAGAACAAAGAACCTATTGCGGATGTGAACGTGACCTATACTCAGCCGAATTGTGAGAATGCCATCGTACCCTAATGATTCAAGTGGTTGAGGCACAACAACAAACCACTGGTCGTCAGCCTTTTCAGGGACGAAACAGTAGGAGACAATTCACTCCTTTACGTGGGTCTCTATCTCAAGTGCTAGTAATTTTACGGAAGAAGGGTTTGTTTACTACTGAGTCAAAGCGGCCTAATCACAAACAGTACCCCAACTTGATCAGTCCAAGCAATGTGATTACCATATAGGCGAAGTGGGGCATTCCACCGATAAATGTTTCACCCTCAAGCATCGAATCCTGAACTTATTGGACACCAAGGCCTTTTCATTCCAAACCGTTTGGCCAAACGTCCAGAACAATCCGCTTTTTGACCATGCGGACAAGGTGAATGCCATATGTTATTACTAATCATAAAAATTACTGGAAAGTGAGTTTTGAAGGTATCAATGTTAGTTTGGAAAATATATTCAAACTAGAATTTGGAAAATTCAATTGTAGGACTATTTCATGACAAAAATTATCTTCTGATATCTAGGGAAGTTATATGGTATTTTACTAAGTTGTAATTCTTTTTTAGCTATTCGGATGTTTCTAGCATACGCTCCTCGCAAGCCTCTCATCCTCTGGCTCAATCTCACTCTCACTCGCTCCCCCAGTAGTTTCTTTTTGTTTTGTGTAAAATTTCTAAATTGAAATATTTTGAACTAGATCACATTTCGAATGTAGTGCGACTCATCTAGGCCAAAAATAAAAGATTCCACGTTCTCGCACAATCTTGGATTCACTTGACTAGTGCGGGTTTTTTTTTTTCTTGCTCAACCAGTCTTCACCTACTACAGCACTCATCAGTGTATGTACACATGAAATCCTCAGAAACAACAAAATCGACATCAGCTTTATCAAATTGTCTTAATCATGTGGAGGGCCTTGACCATGAGGACCTTAACCTTTTTCACCTCCTTCTGGATTCCACCCTGCAAATGGTCTAGTTACTTTATTGTTAGTGCAAAGCTATTCAATTTCCTAATATGATTGAACTCAACTATCAAAGTAATGACATTTTTAAGCAGTCGTTTCCTTTTTATCTATTTCTAACCAGTAAGTTCTTGACTTGCTTTTTCATTCTTCATGGGCTTACTTCCTCGCGAGTCATGGATTCTCACTGTGTTACACGTGATGGAACAAAAAAAAGTCATGTCCCACTCGAAGATTTATAAAACGTATACTTTTATGATTGAGGGACTTACGTAAAAATTTAGGCCGGACCAACGATTTGAGTGCGTATCACCTCTACCTACAATCGATTGCAAAAAGGTCGATCATTCGTGTTTTTATTGTAATGCTTAGTCTCAATTAAGCGCCTGAGCGAGCATGTGTATCTCACATGCCACTTTCCAAAGGCATGATGGGGGTATTTTCGGGTTTTCTGTTTTTTTTTTTTTTTTTCTCTTTAATCTTCTTCTTTGTTCATTGTTCTTCTCTTTACCTTCCTTTTTTTTTTACTATGGCCGACAAGGGTCACGGCCCTCACCTAGCCTCGCCCAGATCTAGGAGAGGCCATAGTGGCCACGGGCAAGGTTGGCCTAGATCTAGGCAAGGCGGCCTTGCCCTCGGCCATTGCCATTTCCACAACCGATCTCCCAATGTAGAGCTCACTCAATTACTCCTCCCAATTGGCAGACGCTCTCTCTCTCTTTGAATCGAGCTCACCTTTTGAAGTTGAATTGAGTTTCAGGCGCAAAATTGATTCCCGCTTGTCTAGCCATAGTGGAAACCCTAGGCCTTGCCAGATTCAACCACCACATGCTCGATTTCAAACGCTGGATCCTAGCATTCATCTTCTCGCACAAGATGCTCCTCTTCGTGGTGTAGATCGCCACGTGTTCCTATGGCAATGCAACGCCTTTGGCACCAAAGGATTCTCGATATCCAGTGGCAATCGTCGGAGACCAGCCAGATCTAGGCGACGCCGGACGAGGGCCGCGAAGCCCTTGCCGGCACAATATAAAAAAAAAAAGAGAAAAAGAAAGGAAAAAAAAAAGATGCCACAAAGAAGAAGATGAATGGGAGAGAAGAAGAAAGAAAACATAAAAACCCGAAAATGCCCCCATTTTGCCTTTGGAAAGTGGCATGTGAGATGCACATACTCATGTAGGTCCTTATTTGAGATTAAATGATCACTTCGAGCCCTTATTTAATACAAGATTCATTTAAGATCCTTTTTTGAGAAAATGACTCCATTTTAGGTTTTTATTTGAAATTTTGATGATTTGCGTGAGTCGCCCAATTTTTTTGGTATCTAGGAGAAGGACTTTTTCACCATGAAAATGGGTTGACTTCATTGGTAGAACCTCATTTTCCCTTATCCATTGTTCTTTTGTGAGAAAGTACAAACGTAAAATTCCGAACTATAAGAAAACAGTGCGGTATAAAAATACTAGCAAAAACCCACACGACAAAATCACATTCTTTATTTAACACAATTTTTCAATCGAAACAAAACGTTATATTTTTATTTGTAGAAAAAATCAGAAAATAAAAAAAATGCACTAAATACCATGGCCTGTCTCTACTGGACTATTGCCATACTTTTTACTTCGTTGCGCGTCATTTTACTATATACACAAGAAATGTGTATTAGCGGACCGAATGATCACTCAACTCATGGTACATGACGAATTCTGATAACTGCCTTGGGCTTTCTCTTTCGGTACTACACTTTGATGTGTTTAACTTTAATTACAAAGTATTCTTGATAAACACTCTTTCATGATGACTCGTAAAACTCTACAAAGCTAAAAAATGCTCCATGTAAGCACCATTTAAACATGCAGGACGCGTTTGGTAATGTTTTTACTTCTCTATTTGTCTGTTTTTTTATTTTCCAGAATAAAAAAAGAATAAAAATTCATTTGATAACGTAAGTTAATTTTTTTTATTTTTCGAAATAGAAAAATGGCTAGGAAATAAATTTGAAACAGAAATAAGAACTTTGTTCTCAGAAATAAAAAAAAGTAGAAACAAAGAAACAAAAAAAGAAACTGACGACCGTCATCTGCAGACCGTCTTCTTCCCTTTCAAGCTGCGGCTTCCGCCCCTCCTCCATCCTCCATCGTCTGCAGATGGTCTAAAAGCACCGGCCACCAACCCCGTCACTCGCGGCGAAGCCCCGGCCAGTCGAAAGCCACCGGTACGCCTTTCTGTTCTCGTCTTTGTTTTGATAGTGTGGCAATTCTATAGGGACGCCGTCGAGCGAGGGCCGCCCTCACTGATCTGGGCACGGGCCACCCTCGGTCGACAGCGGCGAGGACGGCCCTCGCGCCCAGATCTGGGCGAGCATTTGAATATATCTTCATGTTTGTGAAGCCGGTTCTCGGCGGAGCCCGATGGAGCCAGCTCCGGAACCTGCCGTCTCTTCGGTGCCGAAGCGGAAGCTCGATTGCCGGTATTGATTCTTTCGTTTTTGGCCTTCGTGCAAGGCGTTTGCTACGTTTTCGCTGGTCCTGCTGAGTTTCGGGCATGTAGAGTCGCGGCATTCTGTTATGTGCTTCCGTGTCTTTGTAATCCTTCGACTCTTAAATTATGTGGAGTGCCCGAGGTGTGTGGAGTGCAGGTGCCGGGGTAATTGGATCGTGGAAGATGTTTGCGGATTTTTCGTTTCTGAGTTTTAATAGAGTTGAATGATTGGGATGCTGAGGAGTGGGAGATTATGAGGAGTAGTTACAATATAGGATGAGTAATTTGTGTTTTTCCATGGAAAGGATTAGCAATGACAAGATATTCTTTTCCTTAATTTGTGAGTGTGAGGCTAAGGGAACACAAGCTTCGCGTAGTAATTGCATTCAATGCAAGTTAGGCCTCAGGGAAGTGGTGATCTATTGTGGTTTGGCTTTGTTCTACAGGAAACATGGGCCATAAATCTCTGGCTTTTACTGCTGGATAAATCTATCATTAACCTCGTGGGTTATTAATTGTTCATGCAGGTGTAAGAGCTCAGGTTGCCACTGTTGAAAAAGTGAGCACAGAAGGTGCTCAAAGCGTAGAATCGCCTGTCGTGATAGTTACCGGAGCCTCCAGGGGTATTGGTAAAGCCATGGCATTATCACTGGGTAAAGCAGGTTGCAAGGTGGGTGTGATCTTCTCAATCCACAGGCTTTGATTGTTAGCAACTTAGTACTTTGCCCGCTATGAGTGTTCTGCTCTGCAAATGAATGATATATTTTCCTACGCACATCTGTTGCTTTCTCTTGGCAAAGTGGCTACGGTGATTTGAGTAAACAGACTCCCTTATTTAGCGAGCCATTCTGAAATAATTCAAGAAATTGCATACGTTGGTTCTCAAGATACAGCACATCTTCATAACAGGCCATAATTGTGTATGCGTCTGTGTGTGTGCATGCACACGTGCCATTCCTCCTAGTGTGTATTTGTAGATGCACTTCTGTCCTGTATTTTGGTTCAGAATATCCACATTAAAGTTTTTCGTTCAATTTCCACAAGTTGAAAGAAAAGATAGTTCCAAGAAATGTAAAAAGATTTGGACATGATTGATGGTATTATATAGCTAATTGATGTGACTTACTTAAACTCGGAACTCAAAACGTTGGATCATGAAATAAATGACAGAAACTCTGCCACTTGCATTTTGCACAAAAGCTACGATATTTATTACTTGTTAATTTTTTTCGGGTTTCTGAAACTTCACGTGTATTAAGCCATGCATAATTTTGACAAAGTAATTCGAACTGTATTTTATTCACCCTTAGTAACCCATCCGTCATGCCAAAGTAATTCTGCCATTGTTGGCTCACTTAACAACATCATTTCCCCAGGTTAATGCTATTGCTCCAGGGTTCATTGCATCTGATATGACTGCCAAACTTGGGGAAGAAGTTGAAAAGAAAATCTTGGAGACAATTCCGTTAGGTGAGATATTAAGGAGTGGCTGCCAGTAATGTGGTATTTCACCGAAGAATTGCTGATTTAGGGATGTTCCAGTCCTCTAACTGTTTCTGAGGACATTACATGAGATCTAATAACAGTTACACTGAAGTATGAATTATATTTTATACTTAGGAAGATACTCGCTATACTCGGGAAAGTTTTGGTGGCTTTAGGGTTGGGGAGGGATTGAGGGTATCGTTAACCCCTGATTGAACATCGAATAAGAAGAACAGACCTCGTATCCGTGTTGTGTTGTCTTAACTAAGAGTAGCCCTTCAAAATTTATTTTATCAAAGAGTATGTGAGACTTCTGTTCTGATGTTAGTCATCTTTATGAGTTCAGGAAGGTACGGAAAGCCAGAAGAAGTTGCTGGACTGGTGGAATTTCTTGCCATCAACCCTGCAGCCAGTTACATTACAGGACAGGTAAAAGAATCGCTGTTCCCGCTGTTTTACCCTTTTCCCCCCTCATGACGTTGTTTCATCTTTGCTTTGCTTAATAATTTGATGTTACTATGCAGGTCTTCACGATAGATGGTGGAATGGTCATGTAGAGTATAATACCTGCTTTGTTGAAGCCTGAATAGAACTTCCAATTGCAGAGCTTAGCCTGCGCAGCAGGGATTCACAAGTGACCGGTGGTATGACAATAGAGCCCATGTTGAAAACTTATTTTGCTTAGGATGGACAATAAGAGGTTGTTGAGGCAAGTTTTGAGATTATTAGCTGCAATTGATCACACACAATCGTCCTTATGTTTGACATACTTGTTCATGAAATACCATCGTAAGATCATTATTGGCTCGATCAGGAAATTGTGATTTACAGTGTTGAATTCACTAGTTCAAGGATATAAATTTATCTTCTGCTTCAACTCCAAATTAGGATGGAAGTAAATCCATCTGCCAATTTCTTTCATAGGCTGTTTACTCATCTTCAACTCCAACTCCAACTCCAAATTAGGAAGGAAGTAAATCCATCTACCAATTTCTTTCACAGGCTGTGCATAGAATTCAAATTTCTACATGCAATCAACTGCTAGACACCACAGAGATTAATGCTAGACAGGATGGATAAAAACTTTTTCCTATATGGAGATCCGGAGTACCCATTTGGACCTACACAAGTGGAGGATGCAGATGAGTGGCATGAGGAGGCATTAAGGATTCATGTCTATATAAATCAATTTTCAAAGTTACTGTGACTATTTAAGTGATTAATAAAGCGAATGGATCATATTCAAGCGCCCAATAAAATCCGCATCATCATCCACGTGTTATTATAATGTCGTATATGGAGTTTCGAATGTTCTTTATATATATCGTGGCAAGGAACTCTATGCATCATAGGAAAGAGTTCATAAAGAGAAAGTAATGTATAATCTTCTTAAGTGACAAAAATTAGTGACGTCAGCTGTTGTATATTATAGCACTGTCAAGGTCGACCCGGAGAGTTCTTCACATTCATAGAAGGAGTTCTCGTTTTGTTTATTTATTGGTAATAAAAACAACTAACACATGGTTAAGATGTAAGCATTCTTTTTTATCTTTTGGTAATTTAATATGAGAATAAATAGTATTTATAATAGCGGTTGTGAAGAAACTTTTGAAATAGATAAATATGGTATTCAGAATAATAAAAATATTAAGAAAATTAATTTTATCCATGAAGAGCATGCTAAAGATATATATATATATATATATATATATATATATATATATATATATATATATAAAGTAGTGTGAGTTAAAAAGGATTAGACAAACCAATAAACAATGCTTATTGATTTTTTTCACTTATAACTTGTACTTATAGTTAAATAAAAGACACAGACTTGAATGAAAAAAATTGGGAATAGAAATTTTGTGCAGTTACCAAACGCATTCTTATGCTCAGAAACTCATCTAGGAAATAGAAATAGAAAAAACTATTTCTGAAAAGAAATTGTTCCTAAAAACAGAAATGTTACCAAACGCGCCCGTAGTTAACACTTATTATGGCGTACATATTTTTTCTGATGTCGTCACTTTTTTTTTTTTTGATCTCGTCACCTTAATGACTTGACTTTTGTTAATATTAATCATATGAGATTTAACCACCCGCATAAGTTTCTATGTTTGTGCCACGATATTCATATTTCTCTGGAAATTTTTCTCAAAAATATTATATATATTTTCCAGTAAAATTTTAGAAATTCCTTAGTTACACAACATATGTAAAAGAAAAGGTAATTCATCATATTTAAAAGGTGCTTACTAGAGGTTTGGTTTCTTGATTCAATTGGCTTCCATCAACTCAAAGAGTCCTTGCCTGTTTCATGCAAAACAAATCTTCTCTCTTCATATAAGACTTTAGCCACGATAACACTTATTTATCATTTTTTCTTTATATTGCACACGTATTGAATTTTTTCTGTAGAATAATTTCTATTGACTTATTTGTATATTTTTAGAGGTTAGGAAAAGTGTTAGAAAAGTTCTAAACCTATTGCATTTGTGCCAATATAGTCTTAAACATTTTAAAGGTGTCAATTTAGTTTTAAACCAAAACCTAGAGCCAATTCAGTCCTTCCGACTAATTTTAACCGAATATCACTGACGTAGACGCCGGTCGGTCAGCACTGATGTGGACAATTTTTAATAATATTTAAATATTTTTTCGAATTATTTATTTATTTATTTATTTTTCCTTTTATTTCTTTTCTTTCTCTTCCTTTTTTTTTCCTTCCCTTCCTTCTTCCTCCAGCTAGTCATTGGACCTCGGCAACCTCATCGGCCTTCGGCCATGGCGGGGCAAGGCTTAACCTAACTAAATCCGGCAAGGTTGTGCCTCGCCTAGCCCCTAGCGAGGCTCGAGCCCTCACCAGAGGCCACAAGGGTGGCCTCGCGCTGGTATGGTGAGGCTCGCCATTGCCGAATTTGGCGAGGATCGAGCATCGCCGGCCATGGGGGAGGCCCGACCTCGCTAAATCCAACAATGGCTTGTGCCTTGCCAATGGCTGGGCGAGACACGACCATGTCTGATCTGGCGAGGTTGAGCCTCACCCAGCCATGGCGAGGGCTGGCGAGGCACAAGCCTTTGCCGAATCTGGTGGGGTCGAGCCTTGCCCAGCCATGGCGAGGCTTGCACTCGCCTTTGGCCGGTTCGGCAACCGGCTAGAAGAAGAAGGAATGAAAGGAAAAAAAAAAGAAAAAAAAAAAAGAAAGGAAAAAAAGAAAGATAAAAATTCAAAAAATTATTTAAATATTATTTAAAAAATATCAACGACAGCGCCGGCCAACGTCTATGTCAGCAATATTCGATCAAAATTAGCCGAAAACTATGAATTAGCTCTCGGTTAAAAGATTTACGACTAAATTGACACCAATGCAATGGGTTTAGGACTTTTCTGACACTTTTTCTTTTAGAGGTTTTTACGATAAAGAGCACAAGAGCAACGAGTACATGTTCCCCGTTTGAAGGCATTAAAATTCTCTTTTTTATCTTACCTTATCACTTAAATCAAACAAGTCGAGGAAAGATATGAATTACTCTTTCATTCTCTATGAATTTTGAAGGAAAAAAAAAAACAATAGAGCACAAAATAAGAGTGAAGTGATTGTACTGATAATTCCTCGAGTTATTTCGTTGATGGAAAGTGTATACTTCTTTCTGTGTGAAGCTATTTTATAAACCAACCACTGGGGATTACCCCAGTGGTCACCCTTCTCACTTGAGAAGGGAGAAGTGGAGAGTTCGATTCCCCAGCTTCTCAGGGGGCTGGAGGGTTGGGACATTTAGGCTCTGTTCGAGCCCCGGAAAATGTTTTCCGGGTTTTCCGGTGTTCGAGGGGCAGAAAACGTTTTCCGTGGGAAAACATTTTCCTTCCCCCCTCACAAAATAGCCTAAGTCTGTGGAAAATGACTTCCGCTTCTCAAAAGCGGAAGTCATTTTCCGGAGCTTCTTCTTCTTCTTCACTATTTTTTTTTTCTTTTTTTTCGTTCTTCTCTTTCCTCAGCGCTGTGGCCGGCGACTGGCCAGTGGCGAGGCCCGAGCTCGCCGGCCTCAGGCGACCTCGGCCTCTCCGCCATCTGGCGACGTCGGGCGAGTCTCGAGCCTCGCCTGAGGTCGGCGAGCTCCAACCTCGCCAGATCCGGCGACCTAGGCGAGGCTCGAGGTCGCCGGATCTGCTGATGCTTTGATTCTTTTGTTTTCTTGTGTTGTTGTTCGTGGGGGAGAGAGAGAGAGAGGGGAATCGTGGGTTCTTCTTCTTCTTCGTATTCTGGTGTTGCTGTTCGTGGGTTCTTCTTCTTCTTGTTCGTGGGCGAGGCTCCTTGGGCTGCTTGATCGCCAGCGGCGACTTGGGCCTCGCTAGATCCGGCGACCTCGAGCCTTGCCCGAGGTCGCCAGACATCGGCGAGGATCCGGCGACCTCGGGCGAGGCTCGAGCCTCGCCCAGGTCGCCAGATCTGGCGAGGTCGGACTCGCCGGCCTTGCCGGATCAAGCGAGGCGGAGCGTCACCACAGGCCGGCGAGGATCGACCTCGCCGGAATCTGGCGAGCTCGAGCCTCGCCAGAGCTCGAGCCTCGCCGGCCTGGGGCGATGATCGAGCTCGCCTCCGGCCGGTCGCCGGCCGCCGGCCGCAGTCGTCGCCGGCGACCTGCCGGAGAAGAAGCAAAAGAAAAAGAAAAAAAAAAGAAAAAATTAAAAATATTAAAAGTATTGCAAGAAGGAAAATCATTTCTATACCGAACAACGGAAAATATTTTCCGAGACTTTTTTAGATTTTAGCCGAACATCGGAAAATGAAGTCATTTCCCGGAAAACATTTTCCAAAAATTCCACATTTTCCGCCAAACGAACGGAGCCTTAGTTTCAAATGTGAGATTCGACTCTCACACTTTACAAAGAAGCAGAGCAAAAGTTTGAGAATGAAATGAGAGTTAGAATAGGACAGACAAAAAAAAGAAAAAGCTATTTTATAACCAACTATGAATGTTTTAAATTTTTTATTTATATTATTCAGATTTTGATGCGTAAGATAATATATTTGCATTAAACTGCTACTTAATTACATATTTGTCGGTGTAGATAACTTTATAGCCTAAAGGGTCCTATACGAAAAACAAATTCATCACAGAAAGTGTTATGGATGAAATTTGATACTTTCCTCCCATATTTATAATTGAAAGTTCGCATTTATATTAATATACGTAGTTTACATGATAATCAAATTATTTATCTTCTCTAGAACATAACTCTCTTCCTTAAATTTTCCTGAAGTCATCCATTGATTTTTTTTTTCCATAAAATGTGTATTTTTGTTAAAGAGCAAATGACGGAGCATATATTTTACGATGCTTTTTTCCTTATAGCCAATTATTCATAAATTTCGTTATCAATTTATTCTCGGGCAGAGCGCGGGTTCATCTCTAATTATCATCGTAATGGTTGATGTTAATAGGAAAATACATCTATAGGATAAACCTAATTAAACACTGGACAGGTCTTTTTTTTTTCGTGCAAAAGAAAAAGAAATATAAACCATTACATTCTAAAATGACTTAGCGCCTAATAAATCAGGTAATAGCAAATGGTTCGTTCCTATAAAGAGGAAATAGATGACGAGAGGATCCCTTTGATTGGCTCCATTCTTTGCTGGACAGTCATTTAATTTTCACTGTGCATCCGCATTTTTCCTTCTAGATGCTTTTAGAAAAGCCTGCAAAAATAACAAGGGGAATTGTATTTGCTTTTGGTTTTCTTTGGAGACTACCCTTGATTTGTTGAAAATTCATTTGAGAAACCAAACCAGCAGAAGGAATGTGCCCAGCAACGCCATCAAAATTATGAGG